AAAAATTTGCTCTTCCAGCAAATTTAGATAGTTTCTTATGGGAATTTTCGGTGGAGTGAAAGGATAGTACAAAGTCCGCCCTGTTTCACGCACAGTCTGACGTTTGCTTATGGATTTTCTCATAGGAGTAAAGAGCTACAGAGTCGCCGTCAACGCCAATCGAAGTCAATATTTTCCTCGATTACTTTTTCGAAGGGACCTATCAGCTTTTGTAAACAATGTATTTGATTGTCGTTTTATAAAAGGCATATAAAAGGAATCGTTTTTGGACAGATTCTATGCGTTCCTCGTGAATGACAATGTACGGATTCCATACTAGGTTACAGTTTTCCAGAGTAGGTCTTATCTACATTTGTAGTGTATAATAATTTAATAGCGTATAAATCTTGAAAATTATAGCTGAACCTCTTAATGAAGCCCAACATATTCCGCATTTCACACCAAACTGGACTAATAGGCGCGTTTTCACTTATTAAAAAGTGTGATTAAAGTGCGAGCTTCCGTCCAATCGTCTTGGTGTCTTCAGTGCAATTATTTCTTATGATGCAAGCAATAAGTGCTCCGAAGACACCAAAACGATGTGACGCAAAGGTGCACTTTATCACACTTTTTGCATTTTTTAGGCAGTCCAGTTTCAGATACAATCAGCAATACTATTTGCTTTATTATGATGGTATTATAGTGTTCTACAAAAGTGAGTGAGGATGACCCGTATTGCATTGTTTACAAAAGCTGATGCGTCCCTTCGAAAAAGTAATCGAGATTTGTTTTCGTTCATTCGTGGCTGGATGTTCATTATCGTCTGTCAATATTCATACTCAGTAGATACATGCCAGTTGCCAGAATGCAATCTACTATGCAACATAATGCAACAGATCGATGGAAAGTTATTGCCTATGGTACAGACTATGGCTTATATCATGTAATATAGGCTGTCTTGCAATGAGCACTCATACATCTAGTTTTCACTGGAAATCCTATGTATGAGTGCTCATTGCAAGACAGCCTATATTACATGATATAAGCCATAGTCTGTCCGGGGTATTATGCTGAATTGATGATAATATCGAGGTTACTTTGATGACACTGGTTAATAATCAACAAACGCGTTTTCGTTGATGTATAATGAACACAATTGTTCGTTTCGCTCATTCGTCATAGCGAAGATATTAAAAACGAACGCAATTCATCTACACTGGGTTGAAGCCGAGGTTGAAGCGCTACTCCTTGCGTGTGATGGCAAATGATAAAAGCAGACAATGGTTTAGGGTAGACATGTGTCCCATGTTGCCAAAAACTAAAATCTATGTAAGACTTCTTTGTTCTAAAATATTGTACACAGTCGCTTACTATTTAATTAGGGATTTACACCGATCATGGAAATTTCCAACCAACGAAAAACTTTGAGTGATTGAACGTTCCTTTGCTAGAAATCGGCGATGGAAGTTAATAGTGACAGTTATGTTATATAGAGGTATACCTGTACATAAAGGATAAGACGTAAACATACATCTAATGTAAAACTAAATGCTGCGAGACTGAAAAGTTCGTTACTTGACGAACAGTACGTTTGATTGAGCTGAATTTCGCATCTGTTATGACTACATTTTATGTCAAAACTGGGTTCTTTAATTATAAAAAGATTATCAGTTTTTACGCATCATCTGAAAGAGCTTCGTTTTCTGAGCACAACAAGTTTTAAAGCAAAATAATAACTTTACTGTTTGACACTAAACTAACAAATTGACAGCTCGCTCCCATTGAGATTTTCACGTCCGGTTGTGTTGGTGGGATTAGTGAGAGCATGTTAGTGAAAATTCGAGGAAAATACATAACAAATCGCTGTCAAACTCATTTTGGCAGAGCTAATTTAGGTTAAACGTTAATAAACGTCACTAATCTCTATACAAGGTCCCACCAAGGGGCGCTAAGATGGTGATCAAGCATGGGAAAATTCATTCACTCGCGCGAGCACCACATCAAAATAGCCATCCTCGCCTACAAACAGATTGCCGAACGAGTGTAAATTCTTCCTACCAAGTGACTCTGCAGCTCGACTCAGAACTGACAGCAGTAGAAGGAAATAAGGATAAACTGAAAGGCAGCCGAACAATTTTCTCTAGCGAGGGAGAACCAGATTGAATGCGTAAAATCCGAATGCTAACGATTTAAATAGCCGAGTCAGATAGCTTTTGGCTCACTGATTTAAATCAGTTGAATTGGCCACAGCAGTTTTAAGTTATTTGCGTGACGCTTATGTTTATGTGTTACAGTATAACAGTTTTCTCGATATTAATAGCGATTTAAATGTGTCAATGTATGTTTAAAGCAAAAAAATAAAAAGTGATTCTTTCTGCAAAATTCTCATTCAGCTCACTCAGCAGAATGCAAACGTAAAAGGCTCAGCATGGAAAAAATAATAAGAGAGGAATCATAGAGGTAACTCTAAGACCACTGGGTCGCGAAGAAAATCATTATTATTTTTGGCTCACTCAGTACCAGAACAACGGTCCCAAGCAGTCCCAAGCTATTTCACTCACCCCTGCATGTTCTGCATGAATCCACACACCCCTGATGTTATCTGTCAAACTTTCATAGCGAATCAAAACAAACATAGTGTAGTAATAGAATTTCAACTAGAATAGGGTACGTCGTTAGTTTCGTATTGATTGTTGGAGGAATCATCCACACTACTACACTCAGAATCATTCATGTTACGCTCAGCTGTCTGTTTTGCTCAATTCTGCATTCATCGAAGAAAATAGAAGCAATGCGAATACGAACGAAATCAGTTCGGCTCGCACAAGCTGCTGTTCGTTTCTGATGTTGTATGCGTGTGAGTGAGTTGAGAATGCAAAATGGAACGATTTTTCCCATGCTTGATGGTGATTATTGCTAATGTAATCGCATTTATTTAAAATATATCCAGTGTACTAAAATAGATGAAATTTTGGTTTTCGGTTGAATTTTTCATGCAGATTACGAATATGCATTTACCTCAACACCGCTGAAGAACCCAATTGTTGTTCGTATATGTCAGTTTCAGAGCACATACATTTACATGGATTTTTCGAAGTGTGTATACAAATTCATCCATTATTTGGCATAGAAAGCTCTAGTAGCTATGAAAAGTGCTTCAAAGAAAACTAAATTGAGAGCAGACACAAGTTTTTATAAGAGCTTCAATTTCAGGCAGAAGCTGAAAACACTTAAGATGATAATTCGAAAAAAATCTTTAAAAACCAAAATGCCCTCAAACCCTGTTAACAGTGTTTTGAATCGAAAATAGTCCTTAAATAGCTATCCTAGTTCTTTTATTCTTTCTGTGACTTCGAGAAGGCTTTCGGTGAAATGGCGTTCGGTAAAATGGCATTCGGCCAAATTTTCCCTAGAATTTTTTTTCGCCTCTCCCTAGCTTGAAACCTGGCTACGCCCTTGTCTCTTAATTGATTACTGCTGTGAAGGCTCATTAGATCTCTACATCTTCTTGAAAATCTGTGCGTCCTGGGAATTTTGAAGGTGGTGAAATATCGGAAAAACCTTAAAAATTCCGAAACCATTAAGATTGCCAATAAATCGTAAGCTCAGACAAATAACCCGAAAACTTTCAGGACACGAATCCAGAACAAGTCAACAGAATTCTTCTCTGACATCACATGGACGACATCCGGAATCTGTTATTTCCGTGATTCCAGAAATTTGTGGTACTCTGAAAAATCCAGATTCGTTTCGACGTCCCGGAAGTCTGTTTCTGACTTTTCCCGGAGCACTCGCAGTAACAGCAACCTCTTCAGTTTTTGCAGTTAGAAGAGCTTTTAAAGCATCAGGAGTACTGTAATATCTTACGAATTCGGGGAGTTCCTCAATCTCCACAACGGCTCAAATGTCACAAAGTTCTTGGACAGTTCCGTGAGCTGTTGTAGTTCTGGTAGTGCCGGAAGTTTACAAAATATCGAAAGTACCCGGTGGGGTTTGGTTCATGGGTTTTTGAAGCGCTAAAAATTCCGACAGTTTAGGCAGTTTACTTAATTATGAAGCATTAACTCACATCCAAAATATTGCCAAGAAATTCAAGCAATTGCAAATTTAAACCACACCAAATACTCTTGGAATTCCTGGAATTCCAGCCATTCCCATAACTCCGGAGTTTTTGCTAATTCCAGAAATACTCCGTAACTTCAGACAACTGTGGCACTCTGACAAATTCAGACTCTTTTTGACATCCCGGAGCTCTGAGTACTTTACACAATCCAAAAACATCCGAAACTTCAGGAATTGGTGGTAATTCTCAAAACTTATAGTTCGGGTAGTTCTTCAAAAAAGTTCTTCTCAACCGCTCAAATGTCACAAGGTTCTTAGACAGTTCTGTGACCTGTTGTAGTTTCGGAAATCCCGGAGGTTTGCAAAATGTCGGAAGTCTCTGGAGCTCTCAGAATTTCCACAGTTCAGGTAGTTTACTGAACTTTGAAGCATCAACTCACATCCCACATTTATTGCAAGAAAATTCAAGCAATTGCAAATTTAACCAATTCCAGCCATTCCTATATCTACGAAAACTGCTATTTCCATTAATGATCCGTAATTTCAGTAATCTTTGACTATCTGAAAAATCCAGACTCTTTTCGACATCCCTGAGCAGTGAGTGTTTTACACAATCCAAACACATCTGAAACTCCAGGAGCTGGCGGAAATTCCATCGAAGTTCATGAGTCTCAGGAGTTTCTATAGTTTGGTAAGTACCTGTAATATTTGAAGTTCTGGAATATCCTACGAATTCGGGGTATTTCTCAATCTCCACTCAAATTTTCCAAAGTTCTTAGTTCTGTTAATCCCGAATGGTTTACAAAATATCGAAAGTACAGAGTGGAGTTTTTGGAGAGTTCCTTGAATTTTTGAAGCATCAACTCACATCCAAAAAATTGGAGGACCTCCCGGAGTTCAAGCAATTGCATATTTAATCCACACCGAAAAATCTTGGTATTTCCGGTATTCCAGGCATTCCCATTTCTCCGGAAACTGCTATGTCCATAAATACTCCGTAACTTCAGTAATCTTTGGCAATCAAATCCAAACTTTTTTCGACATCCTGGAGCTCTGAGTATTTTACACAATCCAAAAACATCCGAAACTCCAGGAACTGGCAGAAATCCCTTAAACTTCGAAGTTCAAGAGTCTCAAGAGCTTCTGGATTTTCCCGGAGTTCTCGAAGCTCCACGAATGTCGGATGTTTTTGAAGCTACGAGGCTTTCGTAAGTACCAATAATATCTGAAGTACCGTAATATCCGAAGAATTCGGGATGTTTCTCCATCTCCGAAACCGCAAACAGTTCTGTGAATTGCTGTAGTTCTGGGAGTTCCAGAAGTTTACAAGTTTACTTGAGTTTACAAGTTACTTGAGTTCTTTGAAGCTCTCAGAGTTCCAACAGCTCAGGGACTTTTATTGAACGTTTGCAGCATCAACAAACATGAAATTCTCCGAACTTCAGGCACTCTCATTTCTCCGTAAACTTCTGACGTTCTCTGAATAAATGGAACTCTAGAAATTTGTAGCACTCAGTGATTCAGTGGACTCCAACTGCAAGTCAAATCAAGCAAAAATTTCTCAAGAAATCTTATGAAAATCTTCCAACTTCTTGACATTTCCGAGCTCTGGTGTCTTTTGGGAAACAGTGTGACTTTGAAAAGCTTTGAGGGCTTTCTCTGAATGTCATGTCTTCTGAGGTTTCCAAGCAGTTCCGCGAGCTATTCCGTGCACTATTTCTGAGGTTGTTTCGAGATCAAGTTCCCTGCTTTGTTCATGATTCTTGAGGACAAATAGTTCGAGGTTCATGCCAGAGTTCGTAAGCGCAGACATATTCAGAAGACAACCAGTATTTTGAGAACTTTTGAGGGAAGTTCAGCACACACCTTGGCACACGACGAACGTAATTTAATGATTCGTTGAGGAGTTATCTAGATTTCGCTAGCTCAGATTAATTCAGAGAATTTTCATGACAGGAACCCACAAGTCAACAAAGAAAAAAAACTTGATTTCCAAAATGTCCTAAATAGCTTTCGTGAATCCTGGAATTTCTGGACAGTCCTGAGCAAGTCGTAGAATCTCTGGGAAATCGGTTGACTTTGAAAAGCTTTAAATCCTCTAAAATATCTTCACTTTTTATGTTTTGGACAGTTCAGTAATTTTAAAGTGAATTCAAGGCTGCAAATGTCCCATCTCTGCTGGATTCCCTATTCATATGGGATAGTTGTGGTTTTATGGGAGAATTCAAATGTTCTGGTTGCACATTTTTAGTGCTTAAAATACTTAAACTCAATTGGAATAAATAGATTGAGCGATTCAGAAAACTCAAGAATCCTAGAAAAGTCTAAAATATCGAAGAATTTAATAGTTTTTGAAACTCAAAAGCTCGAAAGAGTTAGGACTTCAGAGACCAAAAAAAGTCATAAAGCTCTGTGCAAAAATAGATAGTCAAACCTTGATTCTAGTCAAACCTCTTCCAAACATTCATCTTAATTGCAAACCACTAACCTGAAGTTTTGTACAAAATCTCCTTAAAAACATAGATCACTTGCGATTAAAAATGTCCTCCTCCGACGAAGTCTCCACCGTCCTGCTAACGTACACCAAATGCGTCAACTTTGCCGCTGTCAAACACCGCAATCAACGCCGACTAGATTCGGACAAAACTCCGTACATCAACCATCCGATCGGTAAGCTTCGTCGTACCATATTATAAAAAAAATTCAACCTCTGTTCCCCCACTTTAATAGGAGTGGCCAACATCCTGACGGCCGAGGGTGGCGTCACCGATTTCGAGGTCATCCAGGCGGCCATCCTGCACGACACGGTCGAAGACACGGACACTACGTTTGAGGAGATTGAACGGGAGTTCGGCAGCCAGGTGCGCCGTTTGGTGGAAGAGGTGACGGACGACAAGTCGCTGCCGAAGGCCGAACGGAAGCGACTGCAGATCGAACATGCCGCCGGGACCAGCCCCCAGGCCAAGTTGATCAAGCTGGCAGATAAAATCTACAACTTGCGGGATCTGCAGCGGTGCCAGCCGGAGGGTTGGACCGATCAGCGATGTCGGGAGTACTTTGGCTGGGCCAAGAAGGTCTGTGATAATTTGAAGGCCACAAACCGGGCGCTGGAGGACATTTTGGACGGGATATTTAAACAAGAGGGTGTGGAATAGAGGTGCTGTTTTGTCTAATGGACTTTTAATAAAACATGGTTGTGATTATGAATTCTTTGCGTGGAAGTCTAGCATGTACTTCTGGAGGGCTTCCACTTCCGCGACGGTTACGGCATTGTAGAGGGATGCTCGGATTCCTCCTACGAGGCGGTGACCTTTCAGCTGCTGCATCCCCAAAGCTTCGGCTCCCTTGAGAAACTCCTTTTCCAGTGTTTCGTTTCCACCGGCTCCGCCGATGCGGAACGGTACGTTCATCCGGCTGCGAACGTTTCGTTCGACAGGGCAGTAGTAGAAGTCTTTGGATGCGGCAATCACGTCGTAGATCATGTTGGACTTGGTCAGGGATGCTTGGTACATTTTCTCTACACCACCGTGACGTTTGATCCAGCTGAAGACCCGACCGACGACGTGGATTCTGGGGGAGGGAAGACTTCGCTTAGTCCACGTTTTGGTGGAGAGTTTAGCGGAGAATACTTACATGAACGTCGGGGGAGTGTTGTTGATTGAGTTGTCCTTCGCCACGATGGAAAAGTCTAGAATTGTGGGAGTTATCGGCAGTTGATGACCGATGAGGTCCTCCCGGACGACGACCAGCGTGATTCCAGCTGGACCAATGTTCTTCTGAGCGCAAGCGAAGATAACTCCGTACTGTATTCGTCAAATTATAATCTCCGTTACCCACAGGTTTACAATCAATCTCAATATCTACAAACCTTTTTGATGTCGACCGGTCGGGACATGATGTTGGACGACATGTCCACCACCAGAGGAATTCCGTTTGTTTCCGGAACCGAGTCGAATTCGACACCCTCGATGGTTTCGTTATCACAGTAGTACACATAGGAAGCGATCGGGTCCAGTTTCCATTCCTTGCAATCGGGCACACGTGTACATTTGTCCGGCTTAGCAACGACTTGGTTGACCTTGCCGTACTTGGCGGCTTCCTTCGCTGCCTTGGCAGACCAAGAACCGGTAACCATATAGTCAGCGGTACCGGTTCGTCCGATCAGGTTCATAGCAACCGCAGCGAACAACCCGGTGCCACCTCCTTGCATCAGCAGGACCTTGTAGTTGTCGGGAACCTGGAGCAGCTCTCGAGCCAAATCGACAGTTTCGTTGTGCAGTTTCATGTAGGACGTTCCCCGATGGGACATCTCCATGACGCTCATGCCACTGGAACCATGTTCGACGAGTTCCTTCTGCACTTCCAGCAGAACTTCGCGGGGTAGCTTAGCCGGCCCGGCTCCGAAGTTAATCACCATTTTACAATCACCGATCTAGTTTAAATTGTTACCAACGACACTAATTACGTAGTCGCACGAGCGATTGCGACTGAGCTCGATGAAGATTCACTTACAAGTGGCGCTGATCAACTGTAAATTTCGCGCTGCACTCGTCGTCGCCGTCGTCAAGCTCGTTGCGCTTGTAAAGTGGTCGTGGTGGGTCAAGAACTCGTCTGGCTTTGCTTACTGCTTGGGGATGCGACTGTATGAATGCAGTAGGCGAATGATGATAAATATTGTATAGTCAAACGATTGCTTGGATCTAGCAGATGATGAAACGATTCTTCTATTCTTGAATACCGAAGTGTGAATAGTCATGAATATGAGAATGGTTTGTAAAAAACAATTTTATTTGTAAACAGCCCTTGCAAGCGATGACGTGCACAATTGTCGTCGCAAACAGGCCTCCCTTGGTTTCCGAATCTATTTTTTCCGATTTATCTAATCTAGTTTTAACGAACAAAACAAAGGAGGCTGCGCAGAGCTGGTTGGATCCGGTTTTTTTTTCAACGAGATCGTAGTAGGCGTGACGTCATTGACCCTTTCTTGGATGGCGAATTCGCTTCGGGCTTATCAATAGTGCGGCCGGAATGAAGTTTTCGTAAACAACAACTAAATAGTCATGATAGTAACATGACTGTACATTGCATTTCATGCCGGTCAATAGGGTGAAGGGGGCAGTTGTGGTCGCAACTGCGTGCTCCATTGGTTGAAAATTTACATCTGGTGAGAATATGCGCTGGGACGATAGAGCTAAATGTGATTCAATGACATTATTTTCAATTCATAGCGTTGAGTATGAAGAAACCAGTTTTGGAGTTGTCGCGGTGGTCGTCGCAGGAAGCATGTTTGTATGCGTTATAGTGCGTTAATAAGCGGGGAATGCAATCAATCAGCGGATGGCCTGCTTGGATTGGTCAGTGCATTAAGTGATTACGTAGGGCTATTGTAGGCAACGAAGGGAGAATTTCATTTCACTTTTATTCTTGTTTGCTTCTTTTTGATTTATTTATTTTTATTGTTCATGTAAATAGGTTTGTCCATGTGAGAGATAAGATAGAGTCAGTTGGATGATGTGCAGTTTGGATTATCACCGAAGCTAAGCGTTGAGTGTTTACAATCTTGTTTACAGTTTGCATCAACTTCAAAAGAAGGATGACTTTGATATTTTGATTATAACTTCACGCGATCGTGGAATGAAAGATTCTCTTACAGTTTTGTAGAAAAATGTGCAGAATCTGTAATGAATCACCACATAGCTTCTGTAGACATTTAATCATAGTTAAGAACTCAAAAAGTCATCTGCATACTGCAACTATCTTGATTTACCGGGTACATTCGATTTTCGGCAAAACAAGAAGAACTGTCAAAATTCAGATCGCTATTTGCGATGTTCGGTGTATACGAAAGTCTCCTGAAAACAGAAATTATTTCAGACTGTGAGGCGATTCTGAAACGTACTAGGAATCAGTTTACTTAACTAATCTAACACCGAAAAACATCTTGCGAATACAATGTAAAATAGAAAACTAGTATGGTATATTGCGGGTTTTTTTTTTAAAGAGGATGTAAAAAGCTTGTGGTAAGTGGGTCATCATACGACATCTGCGTTGTTCCAGTTTAAGGCTATACTTGATGGAGTCGAAATATGACGCAATATGTCGCATTATTCAGTGTCACCGTCTTCAAAGTCGCCGATTAAGCAATTGGCGTTAACGGCACCGTTGAAAAATTTGCTCTTCCAGCAAATATAGACAGTTTCTTGTGGTGAATTTTCGGTGAAGTGAAAGGATAGTACAAAGTCCGCCATGTTACACGCACAGTTTGACGTTTGCTTATGGATTTTCTCATAGGAATAAAGAGCTCGCCGTCAACGCCAATATAGCCGCTTCATTCCCTTTCTTCACATCCAGTTGGTACATGTTCTTGGCCGCCACCTCAAACCATGCATTCGTGGTGTTGCGATTCTCCGCAGGTAGCCATCGTTAATCCCCGCAGCCGATTTTGATCCCCGGAAGAGTACAAGCGAATTCAACATCAGCAGAGCTTGTCACAGCGGCTATAGACTTCAGATGCGTTTCGATGTTGTCTTTGCTAAGCAGCTGCTGCGGTCGGAAGAACTCGATCGCCTTCTCGGTTGGATCCTCCAGCCGAGCCAGTCAGGTATCTGCTGTCCTTCTATCCGTCACTCTCTCCTCACACTTTTCACTGTTAACTATGGTTTCCACTCAAGGGGTAGGTCACTCCGCAAACCAATTTTGGGTCATCTTTTTTGTCAGTGTGTCGCAAGTGTGCCGCAGATGTTCCGATTGTGCCGGTCATAGAGCAAGCTGCGATTGTTTGTAAAATACCCATCTTGGCAACCCGGTATTTCTGATACCTTGAATGTTTTGGTTTGAAATCGGAATGAGGATGACGCGGGAATTGGCGGGTGTGCGAAATTTTGTTTGTTTTGTGTTAATAGGATAATCAAAGTCCTGTGTTTTAGGGTTTTATAATGCCCTCAAAGGCAGACCAGAACTTAGCCTTTCGTGATGTGAAAAACAACGGTCTATCAGCGGCCGGAGAGACTTGGAATCGGTGGGGAACATTGTTTGAGACCGACTATAGAGGATGATGAATAAACTTCTGTAGTTTGTTTTGTGTGAGTTGCAGCATTATTTGAATTAAAAATACTAATGGGGACTGATTAACTGCCTCTTTCTCTTGAGCCCACTCTAGACCCTACATTTCTTTGTTTATTGCTATTAGTGAACTGCTGGTTTGAGTTCCTATGGTATATTCAATTAGAGCCATCCTTCATGGCCTCCCAACAGGCAGTTGTTCGTCCATCTGATGGCGGGTTTTGCAAGTTTCGGTGGGGTGAATAGCTGCGTTTACGGTAAGCTGTGCTATCTTTGCCTATCAGGGAGTTTGCCAACGGAGAAAACTGCACAACACTCACGAACCTGTTATTATTTTCAACAATGTAACGGATTCTAAAAACCACGATAATCTATAAAAAAAAACTCGAAACAAAGACGCTAGCACTTGCATCTTTGCTACTATTCAAATTTGTCCGCGAGTGATGCTATTCAGATATATAGAACTGAGTCATTACAGAAGTTCAGGAAAGTCAAGGGTAACGTAGAAATTAAGAAAACATGATTTGATTTCAGGGAACTTCGTAGTAGTTCGGGGATCATCGTACAATTTTAGGGAATATTAGCTTAGTCAGTAAAGGGGTGGCCTGGGCATAGAAACCTCTCAATTAATAACGGTGGAAGTGCATCTAGAACACTAAGTTGAGAGCCGACAAAACGCTCGCTACAGAAGCATGAAAAGCCTAGAAGAAGAAGATGTTATTGAACTTCAAGCGATCTTCGTTAAAGTTCAGGAAACTTTCAGCATTGTAGAAGTTCAGCGAAGTTTATAGAACTTCAGCAAACTCTACTTTTGTTTGCCTGTGGACATTGTTAAAAACGTGTTTTTGCTACTATTCATGAAACTTAAGTTTACAGCAACTGGTTAATATTATCCCCACTTAACCACCGACAAATCGACATGAAACTTAAACTTAAGTTTCGCTCGAAAATCAAATGTTCAGCGATCCTATCTGTCAAAACCGAGAAATTTTCATCCAGATAAAAATTATTTTGTCCAGAATAGATCAGACACGAACCAAATCATAAATTTCGCACGCGTGTTCGTGACTTAGATAAACGTTTGGTCACAGACAAACAGACGTAACTCTTCATTGTGTATCTTCGTGCACGTATTTAACGGTTGATTTGAATATTATGAGTTCCGCGAACTACTCGCCGCAGCGCTGGCATCGGATCACTTTGACGTTTCTATACATTCTATAGAAGTTTAATGCAATATTGTTTGCGAGTTGGCGAGCAAGCTTGTTTTTCGCGAGAAGCCCGAGAGATGTTGTTACTGAGGTTCTATGTTTTGAGATACTATGTTTTCAAGGATAACTTTTTCAAAGAGTTACGTCTGTTTGTCTGTGGTTTGGTAATTTCTATGGTCATTCATGTCGGTTTGTCGGTGACTTTACTACAGGAGCGAATTTATTAATTTTCGTATTTTTTTATTTGGTTGAAAATTTTCAGAAACGTTCCTTATGATCAAAAATCCATTTTTGCATCTTCAGATCGCCATTTTATATCAAGCATTAATTTTGTGAAAGGGCCTATAGAAAAATGTTTAGCTTATCTTCAGAAAACTATTACTGGCCAAATGTTTGTCCAATCGGTTAGGTACCTTAGGCAATGTTGTAGGGAGCATCTGGAACTATTTGAATAAAGCATTGCACTCTAGAACAAATTTCACTAGTTAAAATAAAAGCAACTGTCAAACTTGCCGAACTTGCAAATATAATTCAGTGGCAACATTTCAAAGGGGCGTAATTGGCTTAGTAAATTTGTAATACGCTTAACCGAGAAGATATTTCGGCAATGGAAAGGCAATTGCATTTTTTTATATCACGCTGCGAAACATTAGCAACCACATAATACGGATTCTGATGGAAAATCACAAAAAGGATTCAGGACAGTCAAAGAGGGATTCTGGACAATCCCTAGTAGACTTCGAACAATCTCTGGAAGGATTCCAGTCAATCGAAAAAGGGGATTTATGACGAAGGGACTTTGAACTAGCCTAGAGGTGATTCCAGACAATTATCAGAAGAGATTTCATACACTCTCATACACGGGCAAACCCAACAGGGATTCTGCACATTCAAAAGGACGATTTCAGTAAAAATTTAGGGGCATTCATGACAGTCCAGAGATGATCCCAAACAATCCCAAAAAGGATTCAGTACAATTCCAGGGAGATTCCAGACAATCTCAGGGAGGACTACTGTCATCCCAAATGGAGCATTCTGAACAATTCTAAGTAGCATTACAAAAAAGAGATCAAGGAATTCCTGCATCCCTCCGACGATCGCTCATGTAAGTGTCGGAATAGAATCAACTATGTAGTTGGCCAAAACTAATCTATTGTGACTTGGGATGAACAGCTACATAAAAGACCGCATACGTCAATGTTCCATTTGTGCTAAATGTGGATCATCACAACAACACCAGGCGATGAAAATTTAACCCGTTTCTGATCACAATTTTCTAAGAGTATCAGGGGAAACAACGGAAGTTTCTAGTGACAGTTGACCAT